TAAAGTGTTGAAAAGCAAAGATGTCACCTTGAAGACTAAGGTGCGCCTGACCCAAGCCATGGTATTTTCAGTCGCATCATATGCATGCGAAAGCTGGACAATGAACAAGGAAGACCAAAGAATTGACACTTTTGAACTGTGGTGTTGGCGAAGAATATTGAATATACCATGGACTGCCAAAAGAACGAACAAATTTGTCTTGGAAGAAGTACAACCAGAATGTTCCTCAGAAGCAAGGATGGTAAGACTATGTCTTACATACTTTGGACATGTTGTCAGGAGGGATCAGTCCCTGGAGAAGGACATCATGCTTGGTAAAGTACAAGGTCAGTGAAAAAAGGAAGACCCTCAACGAGATGGATTGACACAGTGGCTGCAACAATGGCCTCAAGCGTAACAATGATTATGAGCATGGTGCAGGACCAGAAAGTGTTTTGTTCTGTAGTGCATAGGATGGCTAAAAGTCGGAACCAACTTGACGGCACCTAACAACAACAACAGTGGGAGCCCAGCATGTGTGTCTCGTCGGCTGGTCTTGGAAGAGACATTGTCTTTGGAAACCCAGGAGAGGACAGGCTGGTCAAGTTTCCCACACCCCTTTGCTCCCCAAGAAGGAGGCTGTGTGCAGCAAAGACCTCTGGGAGCCTGGAGGCTGGGCTTTAAGTTGGCTGGACTCTACTTCTTGGTTCCTGGCAGGGGCCGGTACAGGCCTCCACTCCTACCCCAGCTCCTTCTACCATAGAAACTGAGGCCAGCAGTGGGGTGCCAGGGCCATCACCCAAGCCCATCTCCCCATTATTGAGGTGGGAAAACTGAGGCCCCCAGGGGTAGGGGACCTGCCCATGGCCACAGAGCCACCAGCTTCCAGACTAGCACCCTGGTTGCCCTTACATCCCAGCAAAGGAGGATACACAGGCTGGGAGGCACAGGCTAGGATGACTGCCCCCTCCCCCAAGGCTCAGCCAGGGAGTTATTTCACCGTCACAGCCCATTTCCTCCCCTTCAAATTTGGGTATAACATCTCAAACGGTAATGCAGTATTGAACCCTGAGTGATTACCGTGTGCCAGGCACTGAACTTGGCCTCCTTCATGCAACATCTCATTTAATCTTCTCATTTAATAATAGTACATACTATTATTATCCCATTTGTATGATAAACTGAGGCTCAGAGAGGTCAGTTAACATGCACAAAGCCACACAGCTGGTAGCCTGTGTTATCTGATTCCAGATCTCTTTCTCCCTGTGCTCCCCTGTCACCATGGCACCAATCAGTCTGCCCTTGCTTCTTTCCCCTGGTCATTTATGCAACATCTTTTGAGCACCTACTGTGTGCTGGGCCCTCTAGGGCAGTTTGAGGGCAGGGACTTGGTCTTACTGAGTTGTCACGGAGTCTCCTACTGTGTGTGGGGCTCTCTGTTGGCCCAGGAAACCAGGGGAGGAAGACGCTGCTTGCACGGAAGAGGTGTTCGAGGAGGAAGTGAATGGAGGTGAAAAGGGGCAGAGCCTGGGGAGGTGGAAGACCCCCCCACAACACACACACACACACAAACACACACACGAGGCTCGTTCAAGGGTATGAGAGGCAGCTGCCTTTATTGGGGACCGTGGGTGGGCTGGCTTCACTCAAAGGCCACGCACTTGACTTTGAAGTCGCCTTCGGCCTCCAGGTAGTTGATGGTCTCCAGGTTGAGGCGGTTAGGGAACTTGAATGTGTATCCATCTGGCAGCTTGATGCTCAGGTCAGCCTCCTCGAAGGAGATGCACACCTGGGGGGTGGGGAAGGACAGTGAGCTGGGCGGGGGTGGGGGTGGGGGTGGATCCTGCAGCGGGAGCCTCGGAGCTGCGGCCACGGCCACGGCCTGTGGCCTGTGGCCTACACTTTCCTCCACGCAGCCCTGACAACAGCCCCGCTTTGCGGGTGGGGCCGCTGAGGACGACACTCACCTGAGACCGCACAGTGAGGGAGAAGAGGGTAGTTGAGGCCTGGGTTTCTAGCCACTAAGCCCAGGTCCACCTCAGCCCACCCAGTGCCCAGCCCCTGGGCCCTAGTCCCCAGCCCACCTCCGTGACACTGCCAGGCTGGAAGGGGAAGGCTGACTCTCGCTGCTCAGCACCCCAGGCCCCACCATCCTTGCTGTTACACACGATGACGTTGACGTCCCCGTGGGCATTGAAGCGAGGGTTGAAGTGTAGACACAGGTTGTTGCTGTCTTTGCCCAGGTTCAGCACGAAGCTTAGGGGGAAAGGGGTGAGACTGAAGACCCCTGCGTCTGTGCCACCCAGTGCCACCATTAGTGCACCTACCTGGGAGAACTCATTGCTACCTACTTGCTGTGTGACCTGGAGCAAGTCTCTGCCCTCTCTGGGTCTCAGTTTCCTCATCTATAGAATGAGGGCAGCTAAGAAGGGTCTCTAAAGGTCTTGCTGTGCTGATAGCCCAAAACTCTCACTGACACTATCTGTGTGCCAGCGCCTTTGCTTAAGGGCAGAGAGTCTCTCCAGATGGTGACCTCTGGAGGGGGGACAAATGTCCTGTCTGCTTTGTATGTCTCTGTATCTCTGGTGCCCACTATGGTATGTGACACACAGAAAGCACTCAATAACTGTGGTGCAAATGAGCAAATAATAACATCTTTGTCGAATGGAGATAATAGCAATAACTGCGTCTGAGAGTTTGGAAGAGTTAAATGAGTTTGTGCACGTAAGTATATGGCCAGATAATCATCATCTTCGTCACTAAGATGGCCAGCATCGCATTCCTTTCAGCCGACAACCTCCCCTTGTCTTACTGATGAACAAACGGAGACCGGATGAGGTTGACTGACTGGTCCAAGGTCACACAGCTGTCGAGAAAACAGCCCACCTGGACGAATGAGTGAAGGAAGGACTGAGGAAGGAAAGATTGAGCAAATTTGAATGACCAAACGCAGGAAGGAGGGCCTGCAGAGGGAGGGCAGTAGGGGTGACATCTCTCATTGCCCCATCCCCGCCACCCCCCCACCCTCCCCCCGACCCCCGCTCCCCAGGCTACAGCCCTGCCCTCCCAGGGCTGGGGGAAGGCACCAAGCCGAGGTAGATGACGAGGCCGCAGCTGCTTTAGTTTAAGCGGGCGGAGGGGGAGAAGCGACAATGGCGGGCCCGCCCAGACCCCGCGGAGGAAGTGAGTCACCCAGAAAACGCTGCCTCTGTCATCAGCCACGTTAACCCCCTCCCCGCTCCGGAGGAGGAGCGGAGCCGCGGCGGCCACGCCCCTACCAGACAAGCCAGGCTGGACCTTCTGCCGCGCCCCTCCGCCCGCCATCCCGCCTCGCCCTCTCACCTCTTGGCGTCGGGGGCCACCTCGCCCCGCATTCGGAGGCACTCCCCGGGTTTGAGATTCACGTTGCTGGCGACCAGACCCTGCGCAGACAAGCCCCGCCCGGCCAGTTAGAGGACGCGGGACTCCGCTGCCCGCAGTGGCCCGGGCAGGGGCAGGGGGTGGGGGTCGTCCCCACCCTGCTTCCTCTTACCAGGCCAACTGGGAGCCTAGGGAATCTGGAAATCTGTGTGGCCCTGGGCAAGTTCGTACGCCCAACAGGGGCTGTTATCTGTAACCTGAGTGAGCTTCTAGAAAACTGGATTTAGAAGCTTTTGCGGTTCAGCTTGGGGCGGGGGGTGGGGGGAGGAGGGGGTTGGATTCAGAGTGGCCTTGGAGGCGGGGTGCTATGCCATCTCCTCGTTTAACAGAGGGAGAGAACCAGGCTGGGGTGGGCAGCCACTTGTCCAAGGTCACCACGGGGCGTTGGTAGCAGGGGTCCTGGCATCTGGTCCAAAGGACGATGAGTGAAGGGGTCTGTCCCCCCTTGAAGAGGCCATGGCCGAGACTGGGGGATCCCCATCATCCTCTTCAAGCCCCTGTGGGAGACCCCCAGGAGCATGGCCAGGCCCCTCAAAGGAAGGGGGCGCAAACAAGGGCCGGGGTCTGCAGCCCAGGAGGCTTGGGGTGGGTGGAGCTGCCCCCCCCCCGCCACTGGGCATGCCAGCCCTGGCACCCAAGGCTGGGTGAGCTGGAGTTAATGAGTGTAAGTGGTTCGTTCTGCCAGAAACTTGAACCCTTTCCCTGGGGGCCTGTGGAAGATTCTCTCCTCCTTCTCTCTCCCTTACCATGCCCCACCTCCCACCTCGGGGGAGTGGGTGGCCTGGAATTCAGCCCCACTTGACCAGCGAGGACAGAACCACCCTTCACCCCCTTAGCCCAGGCAGGCTCCCTCCCGAGCAGCCTGTCTTTTCTCTGCTCCTGGCTCTGACTTTTTAGAGCTCTCTGGAGCAGAGGCCTGACTTTGCCCTGGCCTGGTAACTGGGGACAGCTGCATGGGGGAGGGGATGGGAGGCTCTTTGAGGTGGAGGAGGGGAAAGGGACAGTGCCTGAGCGTCACCAATGTGCCATCTTCCCCCCTCCACCCCCCGCTGGCCACACCCTTCCACTCTCACTTCTCAGAGAGCTGCAGCGCTGCAGAACATCAGACCTTGGCAGAAATAACTGTGCTGTCAGATCCCAGAGGAATCCAGAAAATTCTTAAGCCCCAGAAAGCCTTTGGAGACCATGGCACCCACCCCCATTTTACAGACATGGCCACTGAGGCCCAGAAAAGAGATGGCACTTGCTCAAGACCACACAGATGGGACTAGAACCTGGCTGCTGATCTGCCCCCTGCTCCCTCCTGGCTGTCTGCCCCATCTCATCCCCTGGACCTTGGGGTGGGGCCCCCACACTCACACAGGCCATGGCTGAGGGCAGGAGGTGATCCTGGGATGGCTACACCAGCTGTCTGAAGACTCCACTGAGAGGAGAGACGGTCCCGGGCGGTGCCCACTCTTTTAACCGGACCAGACCCTGGTGAGTCCCGCCCCCTGGCTCAGCCAGTTGGAAGTCAGGACAGGGATAGGGTCCACCAGAGGCGGGGTCAGTGGTATTTTGAAGCCAGCTCTGGAGCAGAGGTAACCAATCAGCGTGGTGGCCCCACCAACCTTTTTAGCTACGCCCCCAGGGTCCAAGCTCCATCCCCCTATTCTCCTCCTCCATCCCTCCCCACCCCTCCATAACTGTGCTGTAGCAGGGATTGGAGAAAGCCAATGGAAAATAGTTTGAGGATGAGCTAGGCCCAAGAGTTGGCGAGAAGGGGGCCTGGGGCCAGCAGGCTGAGCTTGGGGGTACCCAGAGAAGATGGCTGAGGGGATGCAGGGTCCTTCAGGGACTGGAGCTTGGGTAGGTGAGGCAGCTCGCTCCCTGGCCAGAGCCAGGGTGTGGCTGGCTCTGTGATCCTCTGCAGGCGGGGAGGACCCATTAACCATCAGGCCCTGGCCCCACCCTGGCCTCCCCGGGAAGCAGAGATGGTGGCTGCCGCCTGTGTTCCTTACTAAGGCTAAAGAAAGGTTGGGCTGGGTGCCATGCCTAAGGCCTCCAGCCCTGGCTCGGGCCTCAGGCTTTGGCCCTCATGAGGGGCCAGCTGGTGCTCCTCAGACAGCCCCGGCCTGTCAGCCTGGGAGGGAGTTCTGGGGGGACCAGGTTGTGAGGGGCTGGGGTCTCCGCTCTGTGCACCCCCATCTACTCTCCTCACATCTCCCCACCAAGGCCAGGCACAGCCCTTCCTTTTTCCATCCATTTGGCAGATATTTTACTGAGCAACCCCTGTGAGCCTTGGCCCTGCGCTGACCTTGGAGGATTCAAGATGAGCCCCTCCCAGTCCCTGCCACCGGAGCCGCTCTTGCAGAATCCAACTGTAAATGTAATTAAGAAGCAGCATGGTTTAGGGGGCATTGAGTTTATGTTAACAGTGCTGGAATGATTTGGAAAAGGAGGATGAGAAGGGTTGCACAACTTGAAGAATGTAATCAGTGTCACTGAATTGCACATGTAGAAATTGTTGAGATGGAGTATGTTTTGTTATGTATATTTTCACCACGATTTACAAAAAGAAGTTAAAAGAAGCAGTATGACCGCTACACGGGAGGTCAGGAACCAGCACTGTGGGGCATGGAGACTGTCCAGACGTGAAGAAGGTGGGTCTTGAAGAATGGGTGAAGGAGGCGGCATTCCAGCGAGGGGAAAGGCTCGGAGGTGAGGCAGCACAGGTCTGGGGAACAGTGAGTGTCTGGGCATGGCTGGAGTTGAGGGGATGCAGGGAAGGATGGGGGATGAGGCTGGGAAGCCGACAGGAGATGCATCATGAAGGGCCTGTGGGCCAGGTAAAGAGCTTGGACATTGTATTTTCTGAGGGTGCTGGGGAGAGGAGTATTGAGACCAGATGTGGGCTGCAGGGAAGATCATTATCAATAGAGTGGAGGGTGGGCTGGAGGGGGGCTCACCCTACACCCAGGAACCAGGTGGAGGGAGGGGCATGGGGAGCACTAGTCAAGGGGAAGTGTTGCTGGAGGAGTGTCGAGGACCTCCTTCCCATACTTCCCCTTCCTAAGCTGCCAGCACTGAAGAGGGAGGAAGATTCTGGCCTGGGGTGACTCATGGCTGGAGGCCAGGCTAGCAATCTTGCCCTGCCCAGCCCTGCCTTGCCACTCAGCCGCACCCCCTCTGCCCCCACCCCTTGGGGCACCTTCCTCCAGATGACTGAAGTCTGCCCTAGCACAAGATGAGAGGCGAGTGGTGGGCGGCAGGCCCTGAGAGGAGGCTGGGTCACACCCCTTGGTAACCAATCAGGGCAACTTCACTTTTTCCTTCTTGTCCTCCCCAAAACCTCCATCTAGGGAGGGCTCGGTAGGGCCCAGTGGGAGGCAGCTCCACTGCCTTTTCCCGGTGGTGCTTCCACTACCTTTCCCCGGTGCTTCGTTCCACCTGCCTTTCCCCTGTGCTTCCCCTGACTTTACCCTGTGCTTCTTTCCACTGTCTTTCCCCCGTGCTTCTGCTGCCTTTCCCCGGTGCTTCCTCTGCCTTTCCCCTGTGCTTCCTTCCACTGCCTGTCCCCCGTGCTTCCCCTGTGCTTCCTTCCACTGCCTTTCCCCTGTGCTTCCTTCCACTGCCTTTCCCCTGTGCTTCCTTCCACCGCCTTTCCCCTATGCTTCCTTCCATTGCCTTTCCGCTGTGCTTCCCCTGCCTTTCCCCTGTGCTTCCTTCCACTGCTTTTTCCCAGTACTTCCTTCCACTGCCTTCCGCCTGTGCTTCCTCTGCCTTTCCCCTGTGCTTCCTTTCACTGCTTGTCCCCTGTGCTTCCCCTGTACTGCCTTTCCCCTGTGCTTCCTTCCACTGCCTCTCCCCCGTGGTGCTTCCCCTGTACTGCCTTTCCCCTGTGCTTCCTTCCACTGCCTTTCCCCTGTGCTTGCCCTGCCTTTCCCTTGTGCTTCCTTCCACTGCCTTTCCCTTGTGCTTCCTTCCACTGCCTTTCCCCCATGCTTCCCCTGCATTTCTTCGGTGCTTCTCCTGCAAGGGCTACCCCTGTTGAGGCCTGGGGCATTTCAGGCAGGGTCTCGGAGCAAGGACTCCTGGTGCTTCCGTGCAGTTGGCTTGTTGGGCTCCCATAGGCCCCGAAGCTGCTCCTACATTCTTCCCCACAGTCTGGAAACTGGGCCCAGCATCATAGGTGCCGAGGAGTGTTTGCTGTTTCAAGGAAGGATCGCTTCACTCTTCTCTGGGGTCTGGCCTGGCCGAGAGGCTGCGTGGCATGGCAGAAAGTTTTCTCCAGAAAGGCCCCCAGCTTGGGACTCTGGAGACTTGGGTTCTGCTCGTAGCTCTGCCACGCCCCCTCCCCCCATGGCACCCTGGCAAGTCGCTTCTTCCTGCTTTCCTCAGTCTTCCCATCTGTAAATTGGGGAGGTTAAACCCTGCTCTCCTGTACAAGGATAGTGCAGAATGGAACTCAGGTCTCTTGTACTAAATCTATGATTACTTTTTCCTGGCGCCACTGAAGGTTTTAATCTCTGCCTTATCCCTTTTTCCAGGCTGAGTTAACTTCCTAGGGTCTTTGTGGCATCTCTGGGTAGCCTCCCTCTTACCCCCACTCTATTCTCAACAAGTCTCCTCCTGCCTAGGCTGGGGAGGGGTCTCTCCAGATTCCAGTTTCCCCTGTAACAGGGATTATGGTTTTCCTGGTGGAGGGGGGAGGGACAAATTGCACCTCACCCCCCAAGCCCATCCTCAGGGCTCCGGTGATAGCACCCAATTATCTGCCAGGGCCTGTGCCTAGCGCCTTGCTTTTACACGTTATCTCCCTTCGTCCTCTCTGCTCCCCTATTTTGTGTCTGCCAACTGGCTGGGGCCCAGAAGTGAGGCTGCAGTTAGAATCGGGAGAGCATCAAGTCCTGATTTTGTGGCTGCCTGGCTGTGACGGCAGCCAGGTTCCTTGACCTCTCTGACCTGTCTCCAGCCTGGAAGGTGGGGGATGGTACCCATTCACCAGCTGGTTGGAAGATGATGTACGTGAGGGATGTGTTAGATCTCCTCCTGCACACCCAAGGCCAGGGCCCTCTCCCTCTGGGATTCTTCTTCCCCCTTGCCACCCTACAGCCAGGTTCAGGACCTTGGCTGCTGTGTGAGAAATGAGCTCACCTCTTCCAGACAGCGTGGCCCTCCCAGCCTGCAGGCTCCTGCCCGACCTCATGGAGGCTGCACCTCTGGCTGGCAGTAGACGAGGCAGGGCTGGTGGGCCCATAGGGCACCCCCCGGCCACCAACCCTGCCGCCCAGCTGAGGATGATGAGGGTGGTCAGAGCCAGCTGAAGTCCTAGAATCAGAGCAGGGAGGGACCCTGGAGATACCACACTTGACCTGCTCCCCCACTTGATGATGCAGAAAACACCCAGAAAGGGTGGCTACTTGGCCAAGGTCACACAGGAGTTAGAGCCAAAACCCTTTTATCTGCTGAGTCAAGGACAGAAGAACACTGTGGTCCCTGGCTGGTACCTGGACCTAAAGACTATCTTTTCAGAACATCGAGAAGGATGGCACAATTTGAAGAATGTAATCAATGTCACTGAATTGTACATGTGGAAATTGTTGAATTGATACATTTTGCTGTGTATATCTTTTTTTCCTCATTTTTTTTGAAGCAGAGAGATGCACACTTTTATTTTATTTTACTAGCTAACATTTTTATTTTCAGTTTTTTAATCGTACTTTAGATGAAGGTTTACAGAGCAAACTAGCTTCTCATTAAACAATACACGTACTGTTTTGTGACACTGGTTGCCGACCCCACAACATGTCAACACTCTCCCTTTCTTGATCTTGGGTTCCCCATTACCAGTTGCCTGTCCTCTCCTGCCTTCTTGTCCTTGCCCCTGGGCTGGTGTGCCTATTTAGTCTCATTTTGTTTTACGAGCCTATCTAATCTTTGGCTGAAGGGTGAACTTCAAGAGTGACTTCAATACTGAGCTAAAAGGGTGTCTGGGGGTCACACTCTCAAGGTTTCTCCAGTCTCTGTCAGACCAGTAAGTCTGGTGTCTTTTTTTTTTTTTGTAAGTTAGAATTTTGTTCTACATTTTTCTCCAGCTCTGTCCGGGACCCTCTATTGTGATCCCTGTCAGAGCAGTCAGTGGTTGTAGCTGGGCACCATCTAGTTGTGCTGGACTCAGTCTGGTGGAGTGCTGTGTATATCTTCACCCAAATTTAAAATAAGACCAAAAACCCAACCATCTCTTCTTTCTGCTCCATGAAGGGCAAGAGGGACTAATGGCGGCAGTGGATGACACCACCCCCCCTTTCGGGCACTGTCTTAGTCATCTAGTGCAGCTATACCAAATACCACCAGTGGATGGCTTTAACGAACAGAATTTATTTTCTCACAGTTTAGGAGGTTAGATGTCTGAATTCAGGGCGTTGGCTCTAGGGGAAGATTTTCCCTATCTGTCGGCTCTGGAGGAATGTCCTTGTCTCTTCAGCTTCTGCTTCCTGGCTTGGCATCGGTCTTCCCCCATCTCTGCTTCTTTCGATTGCTTGTTTAATCTCGTTTACATCTCAAAAGCTTGGACTTCTTCCTTCAGTACCATCAGTTCTTGATCATATCCTGCCTCCTGAAATTGCTGAATATCGACCAATTCTTTTTGATACAGTGCCTCTGTATTCCTTTCATCTTCTTTTGATGCTTTCTGCATCATAGAATCCTTCACTATTGCAACCTGAGGCTTGAATTTTTTCTTCAGTTCTTTCAGCTTAAGAAATGCTGAGCTTGCTCTTCCCTTTTGGTTTTTTAACTCTAGGTCTTTGCACATTTCATTATAATACTTTACTTTGGAGTGCAGCGGGTTTGGTTTTTTGTCTTCTGGAGCCGCTCTTGGAAATCTTCTATTCAGCTCTTTTTTCGTCATCTTTAAAGTGTTTAAAGACCTCTTTAAAGTGTTAAAAAGCAAAGATGGACTGCCAGAAGAATGAACAAATCTGTCTTGGAAGAAGTACAGCCAGAATGCTCCTCAGAAGGAAGGGTGGTGAGACTTAGTACTTTGGACATGCTATCAGGAGGGACCAGTCCCTGGAGAAGGACATCATGCTTGGTAAAGTAGAGGGTCAGCAAAAACAAGGAAGACCAATGAGATTGACCGACACAGTGGCTGCAACAATGGGCTCAAGCATAGCAACAATTGCGAGGATGGTGCAGGACCGGGCAGTGTTTTGTTCTGTTGTACAAGAGGTGGCTATGAGTCAGAACCGACTTGATGAACCTAACAACAACAACAGAAAACCCAACAGAAATAGCAAAAATGAAGGAACACTGAAAGGGGCTGCACTGGAATTTCACATTTATTGTCAGCCGTGTCGTCCTAGCATCCTGGGTATTGTGCTATTGTTAATGCATAGCTTGCGTAGTTCATTTCTGCATGCTCCTATGATTCTGATTTATTTTCCTTCTCCCTTCCCTCCTGTTTCTCCATGATTTTATAAGACGTTTAAAATTAACCTAAGTTCCTCTTGGGGAGGGAGAACAAGTGAAAATCTGAAGGCGAGATGACTGAACAAAGGAACTGTCTTGTGACTGAAACCAGGATGGTGTCAGAGAAACTTCAAGAATACCCGCCGTAGGTCAACATGTCTGGAATGAAGTCATCGTGCCCACCTCAAAGGGGAAGAAACATTCCACAGATTCTCTGGACCCTGACCTTGTCCCAGTAAAATCCTCTGATTGGCCTCCACAGAGGGAGGCAGATTTTGGAGGAGCTCATTCCCCTCTGTCTCCTGTATATTGATATACAATAAAACACTCTTGCTGCTCACCTCACCTGTCTCAGTATTGGTTTTCGCGGCAGGCGGCTTAGCCTGGTTTCTGTGGTAACAACACTTGTTTCATATAACAAGAGGACTGGAAGTAGGTTGTTTCTATGGCAGGTTAGTTCTGGGGCTCAAATTAATCATCAAAGGTCTGGGTTCTTGTGTGATTGTTATAAAAATGAACCAAAAATGGCTCTGTGTATTGGCCCCAGGCTGTTTATTTCTTCTTAACAGGTCCATTAGCCCCAAACCCCACCTGTGCCAAACTCAAATTTATACATAACCAATTGTTGTAAAAATAACCCAAATAAGCAGATTTTCAGCCTCTTAGAGGTGACCTCCTTGACATATCCATGTAACGGCACCTTATATCTGCTACCCATAGATAACATAAAACCCTGTAGTTATAAGGACCCTAAGGTGCTGTGGCCTTCAGAGGTCTCTGACCCAGAGACTGCCCACCTTGCTGCAGCTTTCCCCACCCCATTCTTTTCCTGGGAGTTTCAGGCCCTTTTCCCTTTTTGATGGCTCTCTGTGCCTCTTGTGCCCCTCCTGCTATGGGGAACTGTCAACGCCTCAGTCCCATTGAATAGCTTTGTGGTGTGATGGATCACTTTTGCACAGCCTTTCTCACCATGGTCTCGTAACTTCCACCCAAGGATTGGGTGGGACTGTGCAAATAGGTAATTGTGGCCCATCAAGGGGGATTGGTCAGTTTTGACATCCCGCTGGGCTTGAAATGAGCCACCCCATTGGTGGGAGCGAGAGGATCCCACCGCCACCAAAGAAGAACATCCAGGAGGGGAGAGTGCATCCTTTAGACCTGGGATCCCCGTGCTGAGAAGCTCCTGGAACCAGGAAACTGAGGGAGTGACCTGTAACCCTGAAGATGGAGAGAAGCCGTGGCAGGAGAGACCAGCAGGAGACTGTGCAATGGGCTTCCCCACCCACGGATGGAGAACGATGAGTGCCTTGGGTGCTTCTGGGAACTTATTGGCTGGGGCCAAAAGAGCTTTGTAACACTTGCCTCAGCAGGGCAGAGGCCTAGGGCCAGAGAGAGGTGTGCCTGAGAGCACAGCTGAAAAGAGGCTATTCTGATGGAAGAACTGTATCCTGGATGTTCCTGAACCTGAACTGTAACCTGTTAACTTCCCTAATAAACCCCATAGTAGTAAGTATTGTCTGTGAATTCTGTGTGGCCATTGCAATGAATTATCGAACCCAGCAGAGAAGTAGAGGGCCGTGGGAGGGATGGTAGGTGTCAGAATTGGTAAAGAAGGCATAAAGAGAGGGCATGTCTGACCTCTGCCACATGGGAATCAGCCTTGGACTTTTGATCTTGATTCTCCTTCCCCCTTGTGAAGTTAGAGTAAGGTCAAATGCTGCCTTGGCCATTTTTACAAGCCTGTTATGCAATGCTATCTCATGATTGTATCTTTCCTCAATTAGCCCAGAATTCCCTTGAACTCACTACAGTGATTGTGAATTGTGGTCATGTAGCTGGCCTTTAAGGAGCCCTGGTGGTGTAATGGTTAAGCACTTGGCTACCAACCGAAAGGTCAGCACATAGAACCCACCAGCTGCTCTATAGGAATAAAGACCTGGCGATCTGCTCCTGTAAAGATTACAGCTTAGGAATCCCTATGAGTCAGTTCTACTCTGTCATATAGGGTCACTATGAGTTGGAATTGACTCAACCGCACACAACAACAACAGATGGACCTTGCTCTTAGGACATGCGAGCTAAAGGATTTGGGGTGAACTGTCCTGACATCTGCAACTTACTCTCAAATGGTTCAGTCAAAAATGTAAATATATGAAGTACAATCAAGCAAATGGGAAAAATATTAACTGGCGGATCTAGGTAAAGGGCATATGGTGTTCATTGTACCATTCTTGCACATTTTCTGATGGTCTGACATTTTTCAAAATTAAAAGTTGGGGGGGAAACCCCCAAGTTATTCCCATCTTTCTGCTCTGCTACCCAAAGTACTTTGCAAGGTTACACCTCATAATCACAAAATGGCTGCAACAGCCCCCAGCACCACATCCAAAGCCCAGAAGACTCTTTCCTCCATGTCCTTTAAAAGTAAGGCAAAATACAAGATAAATCTGGAGTATCTGGTAGTGCCAGAAAATAAGGAAATGCTAAAAATAGTGGAAAGATTGGTGAAATCTGAATGAAGTTTAGTTAATAGCATTTTAGTAATTTCTCAGTTTTGACAAATGTATCATGGTAATGTAAGATGTTAACATTAGGGAAGCTGGGTACATAGGCTTTCTGTACTGCCTGCAACTTTTCTGTAAATCTATAATTTTTCCAAAATTAATTTAAAAAAAAGAAAGAAAAGTGAGGCAGACATTCTCAGAAGACCCCAGCAGATCTCCCCTCAAGTCTCATTGGCCAAAAATGCATCACAGTGCCCATGACTAAGCTAATCACTGGCCAGAGGAAACAAATAACCATGATTGGTCTAGATTCAAGCTTTAAACCAATCAAAAATCAGTACTTGGAACTGGGGTGCCTCCCCTTCCTGACTCACATGCCATCATATGCTATGTCCAAGAAATCAGGATTCTGTCAGGAAGGAAGGAAGTGAGGAGTGGCTGTTGGTTCCAGAACGGGGTCTGGGAGGCAAGCACTTCCCCTTTTGGGTGGGTGGATTGGTGAGGAAAGGGACATGACCCAGGCTGGCCAATAGCTGTGTTCCATTCCCTTGGGCACAGGCTCTGAGATGGGCATGCAACCCAAGCCAGGCCAGTGACAATCTGCCCTGGGACGTTGGTTGGTGAGAGGCACCCATAATCCACCAAGGCATCAGAGCTGAGAGGGCTATGCCTGGAGGATGCTGGGCTACCTCATGGGGACAGCCAGTAAGCCCCCTTATGCCTTAGCCAAGTTGAGTTTCTGTCCAAGTCTCCAAGAGTATACCACATTTGCTCCGACTTCATGACCCAGCTTAAGTCCCACCAGCAGGGTTTTGTCAAGCCTCCCTCAAAGTCCTACCCCTCACTTTACAAACAAGGAAGCTGAGGCTGAGCAGGAAGTGGCTTGCACAAGTTCATAAGTAGGTGGTGACAGGCCTGGAGTAGTCACGGCATCTCCCCACTGCTTCTCTGTGCCTTTCTGGGCTGCCCTTGGCCAGCTCATAGCTGAGCACTGGGGATACAACCAAGAGCAAAACCCATGGTCTCACCTGGAGGAGCTGCGGGTGGCAGGACAATCACCAGCATCCCAGGTGTGATGGATGCCTTTAAGTGTGCTCAGCAGCATCCCACCTGAGCTCCCTGTGGACCAGGGGGCCTCATCCTCCCACTTCCTGTCTCTCGATAGATACGTATCTGCAGCCTCCTGAAGTCAGTCAACCCAAGATCAAATCCTGCCTAGGGTGATCACCATGTAGCTGTGTGACCTTGTATAAGCTAACATCGCATTTATGATGTTTCCTAAGTTGTAAAATGGGATGAGGAATACAAATTTGCTGGGTTTCCCGGACTGGAACAAATGGGTATACACAGACTCAACGATGTAGAAAGTCCTTAGTCAAGGCATTACTGCAGACAATACTCAGGAAACCAGGGCGGACTGTTTCATGCCGGGGAAGGTTCAGGGGAGAGCTGGCTTAGGTGGGGGCTTCTCCTCCTGCCCTGGGTCCAGACTGAACACACAGACACTCTCTCTCGCACTTTATTAAGTACGGGAGGATTGGTTACAGCTGGGGTGGAGTGGCAGGAACACCCAGCCCCAACCCCAACCAGCACTGGCACACAATAATAAATAAATAGCTGGGGGTGGGCACAGGGAGAGGTGGCACAGCAGACACTGACAGCACAGGGAGGGGCACAAGAGTCCCCCCCCAACAGCTGTGACCACCACCACCATGGGCTACCACGATCGAGGGAACAGGGCTCACAGGCACTGAAGCCCCCAGAGCCACTGAGGGGCCACGGAATCACAACCTTTGTGGAGGAAGGGGGTCTTTGGAACTTGGACCCTCATTTATCAACTGGAATCTGGACCCTTGGATGGTCCAGTCAGACCCAGACTGTCAAGAGGCCACTGTCTCCCAAGCTTATGGGTTGGTCTACTCAGGATCTAAGAGACCAATGGCTCATTATTACTTGGTGTCCTGAGTGGTCCACAAAGGACCTAAGACAGGAAAGGAGCATTGTCGCTTAGCCTTCTGACTGGTCCACTCAGGCTCTAGGACATCAAAGAGTCAGTTACTTGGGATCTCAATGTTGTTGTGCTCTGAGTCGATTCCAACTCACAGTGACCTCATGTGACAGAGTAGAACTGCCCCATAGGGTTTCCTAGGCTATAACCTTTAAGGGAGCAGATCACCCAGTGTTTTTTCCCACAGAGCTGCTGGTGGGTTCAAATTTCGGTTAGCAGCCAAGCGCTTAACCATTGTGCCACCAGGATTCCTTTGGATCCTAAGTCCACTCAGGGCCCAACATCACTAAGACTTCTGACTGGTTCACTCAGGGCCCAACATCAATGAGTGACATCACTTAGCCTTTTGACTGGTCCACTCGGGGCTCAGGACAATAATGCTTTATGGTTACCTAGACTTCTGATTGGTCAACAGGAACCCAAGGGCCAGGACCAAGGAGCAGGTAGAGGTGCAGAGAGGGCCCCTGGGAGGGGGGGGAAAGTTTAAGTGCTCAGAGTTGGGAAATTCTTTAACTGACATCTGGGGAGGTAGCAGGGCAGGAAGTCAGGCCACTTGGTTGGACAGGCCTGGGTTAACCAGTTAAGGAGGGAGCTGGCTTCTGGGACAGCAAAGAGTACCCAGCCATTGCTGGGAGGAGGGGGTATGAGGGCCCTAAAACCTTCCCTGGGTCCCAGCCTCACCAGGGTGTAGAAACTGGGGCTAGGGAGCTTGTGGTGCTTAATGCAGCTCCCGACCCATAACCTCCATCTATGGGGATCAGGGTCTGGTGCGGGAGGGGGCTGTAGTTGCAGGTCAGTGGGCTCAGTCCTCCAACCCTTCCATCAAGTCCGCAATGCTCTCCACATAGTAATGGGGCACGAGGTCGAGCTGGCCGGCTGCCAGGTAGGCCTGGGCCTCCTCTAGGCGGGACACGCCCGTGAGCGTGAGCACGGTGGTCATGCCACAGCGGTGGCCGAAGAGGATGTCGGTCTCCAGGCGGTCGCCCACCATGAGCATGCGGGCGGGGTCCACGCTGAAGTGCTCTGTGATGCACTCGAACATGAAGGGGCTGGGCTTGCCCACCACCAGGGCCTGGCGACCCGAGGCCGTCTCCACTGCCGCGGCCAGGCTCCCGGTGCCTGCGGGAAGACGGGAGACTCAGTCAGCAGGGGTGGCAGGAAAGGCATCTATCTAGGCACTGAAATGGGGCGAAAGGGCTGCGTCCAAGCGCTAGCGCATTGGCCAAGAGTACAGATGCTGGAACCAGATGGCTGCCATTCAGACCCCATCACCACCACTCTGGGGCAGGCTATTTAACCTCTCTGTGCCTCAGTTTCCCAATCTCTAGTATGGGGATGCTAAAACCATTGCTGTGGAGTTAAATCTAACCCATGGCAACCCCATGTGTTAACAGAGTAGAACTGCTCTATAGGGTTTTCTTGGCTGTCATCTCTACGGAAGCATACTGCCAGGCCTTTTCTCCACAGTGCCACTGGGTGGGTTTCAGCTGTCAACCTTTTGGGGATGGTAATGGCAGTCCCTGGAGAAGGACATCATGCTTGGTAAAGTAGAGAGTCAATGAAAAAGAGGGAGACCCTCAACAAAATGGATTGACACACTGGCTGCAACAATGGGCTCAAGCGTAACAACGATTGTTGAGGATGGCGCAGGACCGGGCAGTGTCTTGTTCTGTTAAATATAGGGTCGCTATGAGTTGGAACCAACTTGAGGGCACCTAACAACAACAACGGCACTTATCTCGTGTGGTTATTACAAGGAATGAATGAGTCACTGCAAGTAAAGCATCTAGAACAGGGCCTGGCTCAGTCCTGCCCAATGCTCACCATCCTACTCTGGCAGCTGTGCGTCTTTGGGCAAGCCACTCAACCTCTCTGCGTCTCCCTGGACTCAAGCGAAAAGGGATCCAAGTAACGCCTACCTTGAAGGAGGTGCTCTGGGGATCACAGGCCTAGGTGCTTTGGAAACGGAAAAGCACTTTGCAAACAGCAGTTGTGGTTACCGCTACAAGAATGCACACTCCTGGCATGAGAAACTGGCATTGCCCTTTTGGAACGCAGCAAGGCAGAGAAATGTCCAAACTCTGACCCAGTCAGCCTCTGCTGGGAAAGTGATCGCAAGAAAAGAATTCAAACTGGAGACAAAAAGCTACATGCTTGAAGATGTCTGCAGCGGCAGTGACTATAATAAACAAAATTGTGGAAGACGCCCAAGTGTCTAACAATAGGAAGACTGTTTGGAAAAGGACAGTCCTGACTTCCAGCCCGGTATTATCCTGCCCCACACAATAAGTGCACTGTCCCACAGGCATATCTTTGTGCCAGAATGTTCTGCCTTCATACTAATGTTCCTGAGCAAATGATGGTGGTAATAATCACCATTTACTAAACACATTCTAAAGTGCCAGGGGCTGTGCTGGGAGCACATGGAAGCCCATTTTACAGATGAGAAAGCTGAGGCTCAGTAAGGTAGCATATAATAACGCTTGTACAGCTCAGTAAGTGGCAGAAAAAGGATCGGCACTCAGGGGAGTCTGACCCAGTCGTATGCTGGGCCAGCTTATACAAGCTTGGGGTTGCTGGTCATTTAATTTTCAGGAATTTTGTGAGCTGGTTGTTAGAAACAGTCACTATTAAGAATCAACTTAAATTTATGATTAAATGAATTATTTTTAGAACAGAGGTAATACTTTTTCAACACTCACCACGTCCTCATTATTTTACCATACTTTACTGTTATGTATGCTCTTGAGGTTGTTTGTATCTGTAATGGTGGGAACACTACATAAAGGGTGCTACTGTTATCTCTTCCCAGCTCCATGTTCAGTGACTACACATTGTTAGTTTCAAATCGGCCATAGCAGGAATATTTACACCACCGGAATTGGCAAATAGTACAAATCAGGGCTCCCCCACAGCTGGTTACTGAACATTTACCAGCACTCCACTGCTCTGGCCCCAAACCCCTCTACCTAGGACCTCTCATCCCCAGGGGACAACACCCAACCTAGTCCAGCCAAAGGCACAGATGGGAACAATCAGCACAGACGGTGAGAAACCTCAGCCTTGTAGCCCCAGACAAGGAGGGACCTCCCCAGTGTCACAGGATCAGGGCAGAGCTGGGCCGGAACTCAGGCTTTCAGGCCAGCCCCCAGCAATTCCTCCGGGACGTTCTCTGATATCTGACCTAGAACTCTCTTGTTTGATGTCTAAGAACTGAGTAGGGAAGAAAAGCCTTTTGCTCCTTGGGTTAGAGAGTCCTTCCAAGACAGGAAGGGCTTGGCTGAGTCACTTCAATGTTCTTCTCAGCTGTTAGTGCCTTTCTCTCCCACCAGGACAGAGCTGATCACTCTTGGCCTCTGTCTTAATTACCAAGTGCTGCTGTAACAGAAATACCACAAGCCGATAGCTTTAACAAACAGAAATTCATTCTCTCACAGTCCAGAAGGCTAGAAGTCTGAATTCAAGGCACCAGCTAAAGGGGAAAGCTTTCTTTCTATGTTGGTTCTGGAGAAAGGTCCTTGTCATCAATTTTCCCCTGGTCTAGAAGCTTCTCAGTGCAAGGATCCCAGGTCCAAAGGACATGCTCTGCTCTGGGCTGCTTCTTTCTTGGTGGCTTGAGGTCCCACTCCTCTCTTTTATATTTCAAAAGAGATTGACTCAAGATATAACCTAATCTTGTAGATTGAGTCCTGCCTCATTAACGTAACTGCCTCTAATCCTGCCTCATTAACATCATAGAGATTAGGATTCACAACACTTAGGAAAATCACATCAGATCACAAAATGGAGGACAACCACACAATACCGGGAATCAAGGCCTAGCCAAGTTGACACACATTTCAGGGGGACACAATTCAATCCATAACAGCCACCCATGTTCCACTACATTCACTCAGCTAGTACTATTTAGAGAGACCCAACCACTTGCCAGGTACTATGTCAGGCACCGGGATAGAGCAGTGGACACAACAGATGATGTTCCCCGCCCTGGGGAGCGAGCATCCTAGGAACAGAGTCTATGAGCACAATTATCTCTCAGACTACATTTGTTTCACTTATCTCAACATTCTGTAATCCAAGGCTGCTGCATGTTATGCTGGCAATGTATTCTTAGAAGACAGTGGGCATTTCTATTTGCCAGCTCAAGTGGCTGCCATGTGGCAATAAGATAAATATAACTCATAATTTAGGAGTTCCATGTGTGTAGGCAACACTGAGAGAAGATTTGCATTATTTCAGATTTTATGCATAATTTTCTTTTTTTTTGGGCCACACTTTCAAAGCTGTGTCATTCAGTTGTGCATAAATGCACCTGCAATGCTGCATTTGTTAAGCCTCTGCCTCCCCCTTTAGGCCGTGGGAGTGACCAGCAGGGTCGGGAGGGCACAGCCAGGTGGGTGCTGAGACTCAAGGGACCTGGGTTCACGTAGCGGACCATGAGGCAGGCCTGTCTCACCCCAGCTCCTCAGCACCATCCTTCCTGAGCCTCGGAGGACTCTAGCCCACAATCTTAACCTGAGCTTTGAGGCCTCCAAGGAAAAACTCACCTTTCAGAGCACGACCCAGGGTAATCAGGAGCTGCTGGCTGGGAGCCCTGACCAGAGTCCTCACCTTGGATTTATGGGAAACTGAGGCAGAGGTAGGAGGTCCTGGATGGTGCAAAAGTTAAGCACTTAGCTATTAAGATTAGAGGTTTGACTCTACCCAGTGGCACCTCAGAAGAAAGGCCTGGCAATCTACTTCCAAAAAAATCAGCCACTGAAAACTCTATGGAGTCAGTTCTACTCTGACTCACGTTGGGTTGCCATGAGTTGGAACTGTTTTTTGGTTTGAGGCTGAGGTGGTCACACAGCAAGGAGGTCTGCGGCAGAGCTAGGAGAGGCCTACAACTATGGATTCCCAGCCCGGTACTGATTCTACCATGGCCCAAGTCCTGTTCCAGGGCCAGCATCTTAGCTCTCTGCCCTGTAAGATGGACCCTGCAGGCAAACTTTAGTTCCCTGCCCTGCAAGATGCCCCCTCCAGGAAGTCTTCCCAGATCCCCTCAGTGCCTTGCCCATCATAAAACACTGTGTCTATTCCTTCTTGATCTATACCACCCTGCCCCCCAGTATCTGGTATTGCTGATTGTCCAGGTCAGTGGTCAGCAGGGAGGGGGTGATGGAGGCCTGTCCCTGCCCCCAGCCTACACTGTCCAGACATACTCACTACTGCTAGCTAGCATCTGCTGCCAGCTGCTCTGATTGACCCAAACACCCCATGCTGTAGGGGCCTCTGACTGCTCCTGTCCTCTCTGCAGGGCTCAATGCCCAAGGAGATTACAGCAATGAAGAGTACCCTGGACAGGGGGTCACAAGAGCCAAGTTGAAGCCCCTGAGCTCTGTCACTGACTCTCTGTGTGCCCCAGGCTGGCTCACTTCCCCTTTCTTAGCTTCAGTTTCTTTAACTGAAAAATGGGGACAATAAACCCCATCTCCAAAACTACTTGGAAACGAAATAAGAATGGCAGACACCAACACGCTTTATAAAGCTCTGTTACATGAGAGGGCTTCAGACACAACTTACATCTGAGCACCTACTATGTGCCACGCACTGACCTGGATCACTCTCCCCTCGGATGAAACTGGCATGGCTGGTATTCTCATTTCGCACCCAGGACGGACGTGCTTGGAGAGGTTATGTAACTAACAAGATTACCTAGAGCTGGAATTCGGAACTCAGGTCAAACTCCACCTCCCATGCTCCCCACACACCTGCCTACCGTCCTGCCTCCAATAATGATGATCCAGCCCTCATACAGGGGGACAATCCTTCCAGGCTATGTTCCCAACCCTCCAACCTCACTCCCATGGTGGGTGGGGCAAAATGACAGGAGTCCTTGAGGTTGGTTCAGGAAGGCACGGTCTGGGGAGATTTGGACTAGCCAAAGACTCCCTAAACCACAATCGGCCTCAGTTTCCTTATCTGTCAAACGGGGACCCCACCGCTGCCTCTCACGGGGCTGCAAAAATTACCAGATATGGACATGAAAGCATTCCCGGGCTCTTGTTGGGTGGGACGCCTCCCTCGCATCTCTGGTCCCTACTGTCACCTGGAGACGCCCAATCCCAGTCCCTCCTCCTACCCCGCAGACGCAGAGGTAAAAGTGCAGGGCGCATCCCCTAGTTTTCCCATCCGCTTCGCGCTCACCGGGAGTTCGGCTGCCGTCACTGAGCGGGTGCCACGGGTCCCGGTCGGTGGCCACGAGCAAACAGTCGGGGTCACGCAGGTGCGCGCACGCCTCGCTCAGCTTGGCAAAGGAAAAGTGCTCGTCGTAGCCCACGAGCACGGCGCGCACGGGCGGGGCCGCGCCGCCGCCCGCGCCCGGTTCCTCGCCGGGGTCCCCCGCCAGACGAAGCCCCGCAGCCCGCAGCTCTGCGCGCAGCCCCTCACCGCCCAGCACGAACACCGCGCCCGGCGCGTCGGGCAGCCCGGGCAGGCGTTGGCACAGCAGGCGCGCAGCGCACACCGCGGAGCTGAAGAGCTGCTCGGCGCGCAGTCCCCCGAAGCCGAGGCGCGCGAAGCGGAGGGCCAGCTCGGGCCGCGCGCGCCGGCTGTTGTTGCTCACGAACAGCGCCGCCTTGCCGGCCCGCGCCAGCCGCTCCAGCAGCTCTGGGGCGCCCGGCACGATGCGCTCGCCGTTCCACAGCACCCCGTCGCAGTCGAACAAGACCCCCTGCGCCCGGCCCAGCACGTCGCGCAGGGCCGCGCCGCGCAGCCGCTCGCAACGAGCCATACAGCCGGCTGGCCACCCGCACGCCCGCGCCGCGCCGCTCTCCCGCGGTGCGCACGGCGCGCTCGCCCGCAACGGGCCCGCGGTAGCCAATTGGAGCGCTGGACGGGGCGGGGGGCGGGGTCACGGCCTGGCCCGCGGCCAATGGGGGCGAGTACCTCGGAGAGGAACGAGACTGCCCACTAACCGAGCGCGGAGAAAAGGGCGGAGTCACAGCTGCCACCGAGGGTGACCAATGAACAACTCGTCTGCTCCTTCGTCCCCCGACTTAGCTCGGCTGGGCCAGTCACCGCCAAGTACAAACAGACACTCTATCCCGGAAGGCGGTTGAGCATCTCGACCTAACCTCTTACAGGGGTGGGAGGCTGGGAGACATGCTCTTAAAAACTAAGCAGCTACGAATAGAAAATTCGGAGCGTCTAGCCCCGCGCTCCCCAGCCAATCAGAAGCGTAGGGGAGCTGGTTGCTAGGGGGAAAGCAGACGGTAAGGGAGATGTCGTCTTTGGGTCAAATCTCATTGCCTTCTGAACCATGAATGCCCCATTTCTGAGCGAAAGCCTGAGAAGCGTGTGGGTGTGGTGGGGAGAGAGGCACCCGGTGTCAGCTTGGGCGCTGGAGCCTTTGAACCAAATCAGTAGTGCCCCACCATCGCTGTGCGATACAGTCCCCTGGGGAACTTTTTTTAAAAAATTGAGGTATAATTTACGTACAATCAAATGCTAGATCTTAAGTGTGCAGCCTGATGGCTTTTGACAAATGCCTTTTTAAATACTGTGGCTGGAGCCCAAAGATTCTAATTTAGTTGTTTTGGGTGGGGCCGAGTCGTTTGTTTTTTAATTACCCAGGGATTCTACTGTGAGGCCAGCGTGGAGGAGCCCTGGGCTAGAGGCAGGCTGTCACAGGGGGTTGGAAGGAGCCAGAACAGTGGCGGCCGATTGCCCAGAGCCGATCGCCCAGCGCGGGGACAGGGTGACAGCGGTTGCCTGAGTCTCCCTCTCCAAGAGGTGGGCTTCTGATCTGGAGGAAACCGCTGGTCTTGGGACTTTTCAGAGCCAGTGGTTTAAAGTGTGGGGGTGAAGGATGAGTTGTGACCCCGCAGGGTCTCAATCTGAGGGTGTCTGCCAACCTCAGAGAAGGTGCTGAAGACCTGCCTGATCCGCAGGAGCAACGAGAGCACCAAAGATCTGGGAAAAGACATACCCTGTTACCCAACTTTTGACACTCAGATGCTTTCTGTTACCCAAAGACCTAGGCCTTTGGTTCCTCACCCTTGGATAAGTGGTCTCCTAGGGCTAGAATGGTCATCCAACCTTTTAACTCAGCCAACTCCTGAAAGATGCTCTTTAGAATCACCTCCTCTAGAAA